CCCTCTACTCATCCACCCCTCCTCTAGTGCTGTGCTAGAGCCAGCTTGCCCTAGCTCACAGGGACCCAAGAACCAATTGCGGGCATCTCTTTCCAACTCCACATCCAGTGATGTCAGGTTGGTAGCTTGAAATGGGTTAGGTGGCAGCATTCTTACCATGGAAATGCTACAAAGCAGAGCTTTTTCCTGGAGAACCAGTAGTTAAATATTTATCAGCCCAGCACTGTGTCCATCCACCAGTCCATTCATTCTTTCTTCATTCATCTTACTTCTGTTCATCCCTTCTCCATCCATTTGTCCTGCCATACAGTACCTAATTAAATTTATCCATTTGCTGAGTTATCCATTTATCTTTCCATCCATCTCTCCATCCATCCATCCATGAGCCTGGCCATCTACCCATCTGCCAACCATCCCTCTGTCCATTCACCCATCTTTCTGTGCGTTTTCCTACTCATCCATTCATCTCTTGCCCACCTATGCCACCCATCCATCCACCTGCCATCCATCCATCTCACAGAGTTGCCAAGAACCTCTTATGTCACAGGCCCCTGGGGTGGGGAGATGACAAAGACACAGCCCTTGCCCTCCCAGCACTGTTCCCCTTCCCTGAGAGTGGGCCTGGACTGTTCCCCTCTCACCTCTCCTCCCAGCATCAGGGTGCCCTGCTGCAGAGACCCGGCCCAGCTTCCTGGCATGTTGGGCAGGGCGATGCTGGGGCCAATTCCAGGCGGGAGCCTGGCTGGACTGCTGCTTGGGCCCTGGTCATCCCCAGGTCCCAGGTGCCGCCTGCCCCGAGTTGTCCATCCGCCACTTTACCTGAGTCTCCTTTTTCCTCTGTTGCCCCTGTTTTGTCTCCTTCCTGTCCTGCCTGCTCCTCTCACCTGCTCTCCTTCTGCCTGGCCGCTTGGGGGCTCCAGCTTTCTCCAGACCTGACTAGGCTAAAGGAGAGATACGCCAGGACTAAGAGAGACATCTTGGCTTTAAGAGTTGGGGGGAGAGACATGCAGGAGCTGAAGCACAAGTACGATTGTAAGGTATTGTTTGTCTGTCCCTCCCAAGTCCTGGGGCCACAGAGGGTGGGCCTGAGTCCTGGGCTGCCCCCAAGACCCGAGACCCAGAACCGGCCGCATCTCCCGTCCGTGCTGGAACTAGTCGATGCCTCAGCAGGCTCGTTTCTTTCCATGTTCTTACCTCCCCTTTTCTCCCCACTCTCAAGTGAAACTTAGCCACCTGCAGGAATTCCTGGTTGGGTTTTCAAACGTAGGGCCCTCAGAATCACCCGGGGTGCTTTGAAACATGCAGATTCCCGTGCTCCACCCCCAGAGATTCAGATTCTGCAGGTCTGGACCAAGGCCTGGGAGTCTGTGTATTTAATAACTATGGTGGATGGGTTTGGGTTACACTTGAAAGATGTGAGTGTTAGTGACATTAGACGTCCCTCCCACTCCTGGCTGTTCAGAGAGATGCAGGGTACCTTCTTCTCAGATGGGACCCAGACTTCTGGATAATGCTGCTGCTGACAGCAATAGCTTCCATTACTTGAGCACCTGCCATGTGCTATGGGCTTTGAAGGCCCATAGGCCTGGGTCTGAATCCCCATCCCAGGACTTTCTGTGTGATCCTGGGCAGGCCTCCTGACCTCTCTGACCTCAGTTTCCTTGCCTGAGAAATGGGGACATTAACAGTTCCAGCCCCTAGGGCAGATGTAAGGATTAGATGAGCTCAGATCTGTTAGGTGCTCCATGCTACGCTTGGCACAGCCGGAGAGCTCAGTGGATGGTGTCAGTATTACTTGTGTGCCTGACTGTCCTGTCCCCAGGGCACCCTGGGAGGCAGCTGTCTCTCACTGCTGTCATTTAGCAGTAGTGAGGACGGTAAGGGTCATGCCAGCGGTCAGCAGCAGAGCTGGGCTTCAAACCCGGGTGTGTGAGGGTCAGAGCCTGTATGATCTCCAGCCTGTGGCACTACCCTCCTCGTCAGAACCAGGGGGCTCCCAGGGAGAGGACCAGAAGAGGCACTCTACAGTTTGCAGGGCCCTTTTATAGACGCCCTTTGAGAGGCCTGGGACCCGGGGTCAGGCAGGTTTAACTTCTCAGGAAGCCAAGGCCCAGAGAGGAGCAGGGAGCATGTGGAGTACAAGAGACCAAGACCAGGGTGCTCTCCCTGGCCTTGGCCTCTGCTCTGCGAAGATGGGTGGGGTGGCAGGTGAACTTAGGGACACCTTTGGGGTTTTCTTTCACCTGTTCTTTTTTTGCCCCGGAAAATGCCAACAGAAGGGCTTCAGGTGGTTCCCCTAAAGACCCCTTTGGGGGTTCCTAAGACAGCTCCCCCCTCCCCCCATGGCTCTCTGCCAGGACGGGAACTGGGCTCCAGGACAGAGGTTTCCTATCGGGGGGTGTGTGCATGACCTCCTCAGAAGAGGATCCACATCTTTGTGCAGTTTGGGGATCAACATCTGTCCCTCTTGTCAGTCGTCAAAGGTGTTTATGACCCTCCCCGCCCAAAAGGCCAAGCAAGACTTGCTACTCTAGAATTGTCCGTGTAGATGCCAGGAGGGGCTGGGGACTTCCCTTCCCCTCTGCTGGTTGTTTCTAGAAAGTTGACCTTGTTCCTGAAAAGGCAA